CACTCCTCCTAAACAGGACACAACCCTGTTTACCTCTTTCCCAGCTCCCACTTTCAAGCCCCATGTTTCTCCCAGCTAAAAGTGATACAGATTTAAGGCCCCAAAACCATCCAAAACTTAATTGATTTTTCCTTGTTTAGGCAAAGACAGAAAAGATTTCTGAACTTCAGGTTGTATTATATAAAATGCAGTAAGATGTTATATTAAAATAAGGTCCTGAAAATACAGTTTCATTCCATTTGCACTAAAATTGATGAGTTTTTTGCAATTCTTGCTTGACCAAGACAAGTTTCTTTCTCAGAAGTATTTCATTACATAAAATACTGAAGTACATTGCATTGAATCACACTAATTACAATGGCTGGTGCAAAATTAAAAACTAAATGCGCAGTGGGATTTTGGTGATGTGAGTTAAAACAGAATTGGGTTTAAAATCTGTTAAGATTTTACTGAGCAACCACCCTTCTCACAGAGGGAAGATCAGGTGCCAAAGCTGAGGGTCCTCAGCAGTACTAGTGCTGATGGTTTTACTTGCTTCCTTACCCATTTGGATACTTAAAAAGACACAGATTTGGGACTGGCTTTGCCACCCTAAAACCCCATCCCCTGGGCATGGCTCCCCAAAGCTCGCAGATGACCAGGAAGCGAAGGTCAGATGTGTGCCAAGCTCTCCCTCTTATGGATATCCCTTCTCCTAAGGCTGTGCACCAACAGAGCTGCACAGCAAGTGCTTTGGAGGGGAAACTGAGAAGTGTTTGCAGTTAGCAATTAGCACACATTGCAAATGAGACTGTAAACAGGTTATCTGGCAATTAGCAGCAGCAGTCCATTTTCCCCATCCTAACACAATCTCGCTTCTTTTTCAATCTGTGTCCCAGAAACCATCAAAGTGATAATTCTGTGAGCTGTCATTACTGATAAACAAACAAACAAAAAGCAATAATCATGATCTTCTTGAGAAATTTCTTCATGTTTCACATCCCCTCGGCAGAGATACTGGAGATCAGTTCCTTAAATTAAAAATCAAAGCAAACAAAATAACCACCTTACTTTCCCCAGTGTTTGGTTTGGAAGAACTAACATAATTTGAAAAAGCTGGCTTAATGCATTTTTTTTTAATATGAAATTTCCTTACAGATCTTTTGCCCTGTCAGTAATTAACAGATCCAAGTTATTTTTACTGGATGTGGGTTTTTTTCCCTTGGGTTTATTTTCTTGTATTGCTCTTCCAACTTGTAGTTGGCTGTCAATTCATTCAAGACCCTTCAGTATCTTTGCAGGCTTCTAACAAGAAAATGTGTTTTCTTCATTAATTATTCTTTAAGAAGATAATTTGGATTATTAAAGGTTCTTCAGGTCCTCTTCTCTGTGGTTTACGAGCTCTTCTAGTTTCAGTCATCTGGAGAAAAATGAGGGATGTAAGTCTCCAGAAAACAATATTCAAGCCACACGAGTGATATCACTTTGAGACCAGCAGTTATACAAATTTTATGCTAAAATATCTCTGTAAATTATAAATTAAGTCCATTGGGATTTTTTAAGAATGAAAATATTTTTCCTGGAGAAAACATTAGTGGCACCGAAAGAGCCGTGCGCTGCCTCTAGGGACCCATTTTGCTAAAAGCAAAGATAGGAGGTGACCAGCTGGCTCAGAGACATCAAAAAGGCTTGGAAAATCCTATTCCTGTGTTGCTGATTTGGCAGTAGCTTGCCCACTTGAAAAGTCATGATAGGATCAGGAACCTTTTCTCCCTGGCCAGCCATGACCTCAGGCAGTTTCCATTTTGCAGCTTGTTGGCAGCATTTGTAAAACTTTAATATCTGAGAGTACAGTTGCTGATACCCTGAATCAAATGCTACAGACACTGAAGAGCCTCCTGAGAGCATCATGTATAATATGCAAAGGCATTATGTGTACATCTCTCTAAACCCAATGTGTGTACTTCATCTTGCTTTTCTTCTGCTGTAAAGTTGGTGTTCATCTGCATCATTCCATACATTATCATTATTTTTAGGGTCTGCATTTCCTTAGTTCTCAGTGTACATTACATTTCATATTAGCTGTCTCTGTTTGAGGCATTATTATTTTGTGCTGACATCTCCACCACTTTGATTCTTATAATGAAATTTAGCCTTAAAACCATTACAACAGGAGATAATTTATGAAACACTGAACAAGAAGCCCTCCCCTCAAGAGTTGACTAAGACAGGGACAGAAAGAGGAATCATGGGTGATAATTGCATTGTCTCATTCCATTTTCCTCTGAAACCTTATTACAGCTGTCCCAAGAAAATATGCATTATACAATCCAAGTAATGAAAGAGCAATTCTAAAAGCTAATTGTCTATAAAAATCTGGAGTTGATCCTTTACTCCACGAAGTAGGAAGGTGATTGCATTAGTATGCCAATTCATGGAGATCATCACTGGGATATTATATCCAAGTTCAGAGTACCAGCTTCCCTCTCTCATAAGGTGTTGGAAGAATAAAAACACATTAAAATATTGCAGTGAGAGCATTCTAACACAGAGATGACTTCTCATAAAAATGCATACAAAATCCAGTGGTGAAAAACTGAAGAAAAATTCCGTGGCCTGGGGCAAGAGGATTATCCTGGCACCTTCAAGCTTTAAAATCTGTTAAACTGGTAGATCAGTTAGGAAAACAATAAAAGCTCTTCAAGCACTCCTTCCAAGACACAGGAAACTAGAATGAGAAAAGGAAACATATCACAAGTGGTTACATACAAGTCATTTTTTGTTGCTCCGTTGGTCATATTTCATGCCGCAGTAGTGAGCTCAGATTGCAGCACTTGGGGTTGTTGCAGAGTGTCTGATTGAAGACCACACCTGGAAATGGTCTTCACTCAGCAAGTGAAAAGACAGCAAAAGAAAGTGAGAAGAAGCATTGCTGTTCACCAAGGGAATTGAGGATACCAAAGATAAGGTCTGGAATGCTTTCTGACTGAAATTTAACCCTGTGAAAGAAAATACATCAACTCTGCTTGTGAGGGGATGAAGAAACGCCTAAGAAAGGAACATGAAACAATATCTCAAATTATCCATTATTTCCACAGATTTTGGCTATGGGGTTTTGTTGGTGTTTTTTTGGTTTTTTTTCCAGAAGAAATCATTAAGAGACTAAATTTGGACTCCAACCTGCCACTTATCACTGCCTCTCCTACTACCACGGCCCCAAGCTGATGGTACAACAGAAAGAGACTGACAGCCAAAATGGAATTCAGCTGACACCAACATATCTCTGCTGAGAGCTATCACATGAATGTCTTGGTGCAGACCAGCAGTACAGACCCTTAACAGTGACATTTCTATACAGACAATGTTTAAAAGGCCAGGAACAATGCACACAAATGCAGTACCATATTTTATAGCAGAAAGAACTAACCAGGCTCATCTAATGAAAAAAACAACCCTAAATTCAGCATTACATACATCCTAGTAGACAATGCCATAATTATTCATCTTTACAAGTGAAACTATGGACTGATAAATATAATCTATTAGACTGAAATTCAACTCTGTTTAGTGCTGAGGTAGAAGAGTTTCAATAAATGTAGATGTATGTGAGAAAATGGTATCTGGAAATTTATATTACTTGAAGATAATGTATATGCAAATCATTGTCTATCAAAGAGAAGTTACAGATTATTATTTTTTTTCCCCAGAGGAAAAGAAAAATCAGGAAACAGATACAGTAATATTTTCACAGTGATTTAGTGAAATCCTGCTGCACAGGTCAGGTCACATAACCCTAACAGACCTAAAATGCAGTCACAGTGTAAAGAGTACAAAAGTTAGAGACAACTGAAGATAGCTAAAGGATGTAGAACTGACAAAGTGTTATGCATGGTTTAAAAAGAAACACAGAAACACCTGATTGTCTTTTCTGTATTTTATTTTCTCAGGAATATCCTGAGCGTAAGGGCAAGTGATCTTTTTATGCACGACAACAGCATGTCTCCTAGTAGCCTGAAGAACTGAATAAGTCATACTCACAAAAATGACAAAAAAACCAGTGATGCCAGGTTTTGATCCAAATTTGTTCTGACTAGTAGTAGGATTTTGATCCTGTGCCTTTAAAAACTGGTAGTTTAGCAAAAAATGTCAAGCTGCATAATTTCCCACTGGCTAGAAAAATACTGCTGATGATCTCTCCAGTGAAACTAAGCAAAAAACTTTATCTCATGCAGACAGTAAGTTCTGTGGGTTTGGTTGGTTGGATTTTTTTTCTTTGTGTTATATAATAAGAAATCAGGTGCATTCTTCACTTTTCATTGAAAGCCAAACTGCACTATGACATTGGGAAATCCTGATTCCTTTTACAACTGCTGATTTTTGAGAGCTCCACCCCCCAATCTTGGTTATAGGATTGAACATTAATCTATAAAAAAGGCCTAGAATTTGATTACTACTCGCTCAATACAGATTAATTAATCTGCAGATTCTGCTACATAAGACCCCTGAACTCATCCCTCAAGCAGGGATGATGATCAATGTATTGACCTGGTGTATTTGTCCTGGACTTTTCAGGTTGTACCACCCAAACAGAGCCCAGGTGTGATGAGGGAGCCGGGGTGAGGGTCTCCCCCAGGCAGCTGGAACTCCATTTGCAAAGTATTTGAAAGTTGAAGCTTCACAATGTCATTATGAGCGCTGAGATGCCAGAGCTGAAATCATTCCTCCCATCAGAAACTGGGAAAATAGGAACTACACTTTCTTTTCCCAACACCTCCACTACCCCCTAAAAAAAAAAAGATCTGCCTCTTTTCTTTTTTTTTTTTTGCCATAACAAGACCACATGTTGTTCACAATGGCAGAACCCAAAGTCAAGCACATGGAATTATGTAGAGAACTGAGAAGCCTCTCTATGCTGCTGCTGTTATGGGGTAATTTTTAGTCACTTACTTGGAAGAAGGGCTGGTTTTGACTCTTCCCTTTCCTGTCCTCTCCTGTGTTCTCTCTCCTTCGTCCATTAGCAGAGGGACCTTCCTGGTTCTGCCATTTCTTAAAAACCCAGTTCACTGATGAGAAGTTTCAAGTACAGCTTGGCAAATCCAGAGGATGCCGGGGGAAGCAGCTGATACAATTCACATGTTCACTCATCTACTGCATATGGAATATAAGGAAGAGGAGTCCCACAAAAGGTAGTTTCTAAAGAGCACACCGAAAATCACACACCACCCTTGTTTCCAGCTGGGGAATTGGGGCTTGCTATTTCCACCTGGAAAACTTCCTCCATTTGATGTTTGATGTTTGATGATGATGATAACAAACTATGACATTGTAGTGGTTTGGACTTTGTTTTCCCCCAGAGGCTAAGAAAAGTGGTAGACCCCAAGGGGTGGAAACCCCTGGAATTTTGGAGTTCTGCCCAATGGGCGCTCCTGCAAAAATGTCAACATCCCACAAGCTCACCGGAAAAGAAGAGTTGTAGTTTGGTGGTTGTGGGAGAGGTGGCCATGTCGTAGAGCCACGAGGAAGGGGCTCTGAGCCCCTTGGGCCCTCTGGGCCCTCCCAGCCCCTGGCTGGGGGGCTGCAGGGACCTGGAACAGCATAAAGCTGGGCTAGGTGCCTGTAGTTATGCCGGGAGATGTTTTCTCCATGGGCACAGAGCAGCAGCCGGCACTGACCAGAGAAACGGTGGCAGAGAGCCAGGACAGATAACACCTGAACTGAAGGAGCAGCAGAAACAACATGCAGCACCAGAGAAGACTCCTGGAAAGAGAGCCGAGGAGAAAGAGAGCCAGCAGCCTGAGAGACAGAGTTCTGGGGGTAAGACTGTACCAGCCCCCCAAAACTCCTTTGAGATCCCTCTGAGAAAAGAGGGAGATGGACTCCTATTTGAGAGGAGCCTTGGAGTACAGCAGTACCGGAGAGAGAGGAGCTGAGAAGCTCAGAGCGTCCCGGAGCTGGACCGGGACGGCCAGAGGAATGTGGGGGGAGTTGACCTTGGCTCCCCCCCCTTGCACTGCTGCCACGGTGGCAGCCTGAGAGACAGGGCACAGAGGCCCTGCAAGGAGCTGAGTCTCCTGGAGATACCGGCCCGTCACGAAGACCCCCCCTGAGTCTTCGTGATATGACGTGGTGATACGACCTTGTCTGGGGTTACGAAGCCCACGGAAGACCCCTCGGTTGGAGGCGATGGGGCCGAGAGAGGTTGGATACCTCCCTCGTGAGTGCTGGCAGAGATCCAGCTATCAGCTGCTGCATGTGGAGAAGACAGACAGACTGCTGCCTCAGAAGATGCTGCTGCTTAAGGACTGGAAGGGATCTGTCCTTCTTTCCCTCCTGGACTTTTATTTGGAGGGGAGAAGAGATCTGATCCACTGTAAATACTATATGTCATGGTAGAGATAGTTGTGATCATGTGTATAATGTGATATGGTATTTATTTGTACAGTCATTGTAATATATTCCCTTTCCCCCACTTTGAGTCTGGTGTGTTTTGTCTGGAAAAGCCCATCTCACACTAGGTTGAGATGTGGGAGGGGGAATGGAGCTAGGGAATTGGATTTTGGGGCTATCTCAAACCATGACATGAGTTTGGGATCTCTGCTGCATCCACCATGATTTTAACCTCTCATCTATCTTTTTTGTGTGGCCTGTCTAATGATACTGATTTTGGTGCATTAGACTTATGTTTTGCAGTCCTGATGATACTTTGGTCCAGTTTCACCTGAAATCAAAAAGATTGTATTGCTTCAGTCTGTCCCTGGGAAACCACTAAGACAAGAAATGCATTTTCAGTTGCATTAGGGCTTGTGCTGGACCCCAGAGCCCAGAATGACTCTTAGGATTAGGACTAAAAATCAAGAAACTCAGTAAATACAAGTGAATTCAATTGAAAGGATGGAATACGTGCAGGGTTTCAGGTGGGTTTGCTGAGCTCTAAGTACAATTAGAAGATGGGTAAAGAGAAGTTCACTGTGCTGTAATCAAAAAAAGATTTCTTTTTTCCTGAAGACTGAATTCACTTCTTCATAATCTGCATTTTTCAGCAAGTGAATCTGATTTTTTTTTTAATGTTCTTGTAAAGCCAGGAAAATGTATTAGAAATTACTAACATTTATCATGTTTCTTGGCAGAATTGGTTAAAAAAAACCCCCACACTGATGGTCCCTCTTGAATAAATACTTGAAATAAATACTTTAAAGTAAATAACGGGGGCTGTTGAATGGATTAAAAATAAAAACAGAACAAAAGATAAACAGAACGTTATTTCTGCAAGAAACCGGTGTCCAGATTTAGCCCATGCAATTTTTTGTCAGAAGAGAGAGGCTAAAATTATCTCCAGCTAAACCAGGGCTCCCATATCCTTGTCATTTAGGAACTCTTTCAGTGACATGCAGGCAAAGACTAGAACTGACAATTATTTGCAACAGAAAAAAAAGAACAACAAAACGGGGGTCAGAGGACGTGTTATTTATTGTGCCCATCTGACAGCCCAAATGCAATGAGATGAGGCAGAAGTGCCCAGGCACTGTTTACAAGAAGAATCATCTCTTGAAATAGATTTTCATTTCCCTTTGCTCTGTCATAATTAGGAATGTCAAATTTCTTCGGGGGGGTGGAAAAAAAGAAAAGAAGGCACAGAAGAAGTTTTTGCTTCCTCCTCTTTCTCAGAAAATGAAAACATGAGTAAGAATTGAAATATTTGCCTGCAAAAAAATATTTGTTTGCTCGGCCTAAAATTTATTTACATTTTTGAAAGTGTAGAGTGCACTGTATATAATCTGGTTAGTTCAAAGAAAGTCTATTCAGATCTGTTAAACAAATATGAGTTCTTTACCTCTGAATGATGATAAATCTGTTATCCAATGTACTTAACACAAGATGCCCTTAAATGGGAAAAAATAAGAAATGCTGCAGGTGGAAAGCAACAGTGTAGCTGAGCAGTGCAGGGAAAAGGGGGTACATACAAGTTTTCCATAGATTTTGGATACCGAGGCATATTGTGTTTCAGAAAACAATCTTGGAAAATGAATTTAATATAACAACACATTTATTACAATGGGCTTAACACTGCACATGGTATAAAGGAACCACAATAAATGTGGTTCCCAAAACCCCCCGACCCATAGCAGCAATTATTTAAAACTAAGCTGACTTTTTTATACAGCTAAGGAGCTGGTTATTTTGGGTCGATGGCTGGTTTGTTTTTCTCCTGATTTCTGCCCTTAGATACAGATGTTTCCCCCATGCTCAGGTCCTGAGGACTCCCTACAGCTGGCTGACAAAACAGGATAAAACATGGGGCTGGGCCATGTTGTAACAAGATGTTTCTTCTCTCCTTTTTTTTTCCGTTTCAAATTGTTTTGTGAACAGAAAATTCTAAGGACCTTTAGTTTTGGAAACATTTCTGCAACAAAATATGTTGCCTGTGTTTTAAGAGAGGTTCGGTGACTCCAACAACATCAATTCCAGCTCACAGCTGCCTTTGGATGTGGAGTCCTTGGCTCTGCATGTGTGTAAGGCTGCCAAAAGCTTAACTTCCCAGGAAAAATGGGAAGCCCTCCCTGTCTCTGCTGGCTGCTCCTGAGAAAGGGTTGTGAGTGCACCTAGTCCTTTGCTTGGAGCAATCCACGAGGCTTGGATTACATGGGAATTCATCTAACCCTGCACGTTTCATGGCTCAGTGAGCATATCTGGGAACAAACTGATGTTTTAAATTAAATTTTGCTTCTGATGTGCCAAATCGACCACCTGGGTAGATTCCTGAATCTGCATGTCTGGCTGTGGAGCACCACCCTCTGAGGCAGCTGAATCCCATCCATCTGCCACCCTCCAGCCCACAATTTAGCCCAGAAGTTGCGTTTTTCTTAAGTGCACCCCATCCTAGGCAGTTACCATGGCAACCCAGGGCCCGACTGTCAGACGTCAATCCTGCTACAACTCTGCTGCTGTCAGGATACAGCTAAATCTCTAAGGAATGGAAGACATATTTCATGGTCTTCATTGTAAGGTCTGAGGTGAATACAGAGCTCAGGTCACACCTGCACTAACCCACCCCATTCAGAGCTGATACTCCTGTATTAAATGACAAGTAATTACATTTTTTGTACCAGCCTTTTTACATTTCCTGTTTTGAGAAAGAGCCCTTGGAGCACTCGGCTTTGCTGTCACACAGCTCACCAGGCAGCACATCTGTGCAGCAGCAGTGCCACTGATGGTTTACCAAGGAATACACTTTTCCCTCACCTCCAGAGGTTAATATGAAGTTGCCAGGGTGAAGGAACATCGTTACAGACTGAGTCACCTCCTATTTTTAAAAGGATGATGGGATGGGGGCTTGCCTCAGACACGTTAAAGGGTCCAAACTATGGTTTTATTATTGGGCTGTTAAGGGATGATGGGCAAATTTTTCATTCCTTCTTGCCCACTTCTTCCACCTGTTGAAAGGGAATTCTGGTGTTGGTGTCTCTCTTTGTAAACTGGATCTGACACCATTTTAAAGCTAAGCTGCATAAAAGCTAATTATTAGCATCATGACCACTTACATCATCACTTAGTTGATCCCAGAGAACAGTCAGAAGAGAATGGCAGCATTTGACTCAGAGCCTCACATCTGGATGCTTGAGCATCCCCTTTGCTCTCTTTTACCAGAAAATTTAGCTATACACTTCAAAACCCTGGTGGGCACAAATCTGGGGCTCTGCTGCCAGACAGAAGAGGTTCCCAGTTTTGCTTTCCCATCTCCCCTTTCTCCAGTAACACATCCCTAGTGGATGTCCCATATTTTTCAACCTGCAGTGTCACTGAGGTACCAGCCACACTCTCATGGAAAGAAGAGCCTGTTTCTCTTGTAGATACATAGCACAGCAGTTTGTTATCCTGCATAGCTCTGCAACATGAAAATATTTTGTTGTAACAGTGTCATATGGCCATTACACAGCAGCACAGGAGGTCACATTAATCTGACAGGCAGCTTTAAATGCAGGATACCCCCTGCCATGCCGTGGGCAGGTGGCATTGGAGCTTTCCCTGCAGCCCAGCTACACTTAACAGTCTTCCCTACAGTATCCCTCTGTTTTTAGACTCCTTCAGTGAACCAAAAAAAAAATCACTGCTGCATTGAAAATTTTCCCCTTCCTTGGGTCTGGTTCATCTTTAATTTATCCTCACCTTGCTTGCTTTCAGCTGCTCTCTGCTTTCCAGGGAATGAACACGCAGGGGGAAGTGGAGTCCTTTCTTCTCCTGCTCCTCCTGTCTGCTCTCTGCCTGTCCACTGACAGTCCAAAAGGCCAGGGGTCCAGCTACCCCTGCATCTCAGGCTCACTCTCTCACACTTTTGAGTCATTACTCTGAACCATTTGATAGAATGCCAGCAAACAGAATGCCAGAGGGGAAAGACAGTGTGAGAAGTGGGATGAGAGAAATTAAATGATGAATCTCATTCAGTTTCTCATTTTTGCATCTTTTGCCCAGCTCTCCTCCATAAGAGTATGTAACAGACCAAATTTAGAGCCTCCAGATTGCAATCAAATCCATTCAGCACAGGGATGTGAAATTCCTGTGGTGTGAGTGAGGCTGAATTCCTGAGCCATCACATGGATTTTCGGAGCGGTGGGGGAAGGCGTGTGACTGTCACCCTTGGTGGCACCCACGGACCCGGAGCGGGCACACGTGGCCTGGCTGTGGCTGTGAGGGGTGAGGGGCTGGGAATTGCTCCTGCCACGGCGAGGGGGTGTTGGTGGAGGTGACGGCTGGAACTCTGGGGCTGTGTGAGAGTCTCCCTGCACTTGGACTGAGCAAGAGCTGCTGCCACAGGGAGAGTCACACTCTTCACAGTACTCACTGCACAGCAACGGTAGCAGGTGCACAATATAATTATATTTTTGAAGAGAGAAAATTCACTTGAGAAAAATTGGAAAGAAGTTTGAAGTCTTCTATGTAACATCCTTGAGCCTGTAAAGCTTCTGTAGTGCAACCAACATCCAAGCCAAACGGCTTTGTCACAGTGCCTACCTTTATTTTAAAAGCCATATTCATTTAAAGATTTACAGAACCCTTCTTTACTCTCTATAATCCTGAGTAAAATAACCGTATTTTATTTTAAAGTGCAGTATTTTCCCTTTGAAATGTTCATGAAATTAAACAGATAATGGTCCCAGACATGTTTTTCCCATGAGCAGAAGTGGTGCATGGATCATCCTATGCCCTCAGAGCCGGCTACTGACAACCATGACAACTTTAAGTCAGCAAGAATTGAAGTGAGATCACCAACTCACCTTGCACCTACTACCTAAGGGTCATCACACTCTGAGGAACAGAAATCCCACCTGGCAGCTTGGCAAGTGTGACATTCAACCCTCCATTAAAAGTACCTTGTATTAATTATCATTTCTTTAGATGATTTAACAGTTACAGGTTCATTTTTAATGTACGTCGTTTTTAACCAAAATCCTTTAGGTTTGCATGGGGATCCAGGACAATAATGAAGAGTAGATATGCAGGAAATATTACATATAAGATAGATAAGGAACATCAGATAGATAAGGAACTGGTGAATCCTTCTCAGTGGTGCATCTACCCCTGGAAACAAGTGAGAGCCAGAGAACAAAAAGGCCAGTTAACCATTATTATTATTATTATGGAACATGAAGGAGCTCTATTCAGTGAGAAACAAATGGCCAAGTAACTACTAGAAGATTTGTGTCTACCATAGCTGGTTTCAAAGATGCAGAGTGGAGCCAGAACTCTTTGTCATGGGGCTGTGGCACTGCTATGGCTGCACCAGATCAAGTTTGCTGGTGTCTCATCAGAGCAGGAGGGTCCTGGCAAGGGCTGGGGCACAGCACTGTCTGCTGCTGCTAAAAATTCACCACTGCAGCTCCTCATCTTTTTGACACAAGCTTCGCCATCCATGTTTGAGGTGTTGCTTAGGAAAGGAGTCTTCAGGGTCACTAGGAGGCAGGAGTTAGGGAGCTGAGGGTTCTGAGGCCACTGGGGATAAAGAAGCCAGAAAGATTTTGGAGGTTGCCTCCTTGGCTAGGCAAAAGCAGAGCCCATTTGCTCCTGATCCCTTCAACTCCCTCCCAGCTCTCCTTCTTTCACTACTCACTGGGAATAAAAATAGTGGCTACGGGTGGCCAGATTGCCTGGGGCAGGTCAGGAAGGAGAAAATACTGGGAATGGGGTCTGAGCATGGAGTCATCCCACAGAGAAGAAGATCTACAGTGCTGTTTGCGAACAGCTGCAGATCCCCTGGGATTTGTTTTCCAATTAGTAGCAAAGCACATTAACAAAGTCTATTTAGAAGGTTTTACACTTGAGTGAGATTTTCCTAAATTAGTAGCCATCAGTTCTTATTCAGAGAGTGAATCTGTCAGATTCCATGGATTATACCAGTGTACAGCTCTCCTCCTGCAAAAAAAAGGGCAGTGAGTCACAATCAGAAAAAAAGGAACTTGCTTTAAGAGTAGCATATCCCTGTTTTTCCTATCAAAACACTTTGTTGTGTCTTTCCGTAGTTTTAGTAGTTGCAGTTTTTTGGACTTCAGTAATGGGAAATTATTCTAGAGGGGAGCATTAACAGAAAGTTCTTAAAAGGCACTGAGAAGATAGATGGTACCTTTTCATCAAAAGAACAAACCAACTGCAAATAAGAAATGGAACATTTAAACCTAAGGAAAATAAATCTCTATTACCCTAAATAACTCGGACTCAATAGTAGAGAGTGTTGCTGAGAAGGCAAACTGGATGCTCACACAGATAACATGCATTTGTGCATGTTACAATTAATGAAAATAGCTTAAAATTGATTTCACCCCACATTTCAAAGACTAAATCAATCTCTGCTTAGGCAGAGCAGATGACCTCACACCTGCCTCTGTGTCATGTCCTGCACTTCAGCTGAGGATTTAGAGTTGGCCTCTTGTAGGGGTGTGTGACTGGGGACCAGGAGGAATATGGGCTTTGACCTAACTGGTGCTAATTGCACCTCAATTTTTCAACAGTGTTGCCAGGTCTGGCCCATGAAACAGTGCTGGCTGGCTGGCTAAGGATTGTCAGTGATGGCCTTAGCAATAGGCCCAAGCCTCAAGGACTGAACCTGGCTCATAACCTTTCCATAAAAAAAATTTCTTTGTAGACACGGCCACTCAGATCTCCAAGACAGCACCTCTGAGTGAGCATCTCCATCCATCCATCCCTTACACACAAGCACACAGACTCAAGAGTTATTTTGCTGGTCCAAGGAGAGTGAAACCTCTACTGAACATTTACTTGTGGAATTTCTTCCTCGAAAATATCATCTGGGATGTTCTCAGAGACCTGAAGGTGTACACAACAGTTCACTGCAATGTTTATCTACTGCTTAGGTGGGAAAAATTCACAATAAAAGTGATGCAGGATGTCATTAATGAACCTTGTCCTCCTGCCATCAGGGGAAGGCACAAAGAACTGAAGAGTGGTTTGAACAAGCTCAGCATCTTCTACACTTAAACAAAAGATTGTGTCCTACAGGAACACCAGTTTATTTACCAGGAATTGTAGCAACACATCAAAGAAGTTGCTTTTGGTCTTTGCAATGGCCTTAAGGAATATCTGTCCTAGGAGTGAGCTCAGTGACACCTGAACCCTCACTCTTCCCAGGACTTAAGCACTGACAGCAGGTTGTGGCAGGACGCAAGGACCAGCTTTAGCACATCTTCAGTCCACAAAGCAGGAAGAGAAGGTGTTCCCTGTGCTCTTATCACCACCCTGTCCATCAGATTTTGGCTGTTATTAGAAGGTAAAGGGTTTGGATAGGTCTTTTAGCTTCCACCCAAATCACCTGGTCATTTGATGCTTCGCAGGAGTATTATGGTCTACAGGTGCAGCAGGAATGGTGGCACTAGAGGAAGCTCTGGCAGCATCACCCACCTCCAAGCCCCCCAGTCTGGAACCAGACCCAGATCACAAGATTTGCCTCTAAAATTGTGAAGGTTTGGACTGTCTGGTGGTTTATTC